CCGTAGACACAGACTAGTCATAGACACATAGAATGACTCGAATTAAATAAAGAAAAACCCAGCTATGAACGTAATAATGAATACTCTTTTCGCATTTTCTTACAGAGTGCCGTTCAAAATTTCGCGGCACACTTAGGAAGATCTCGCGGCACACTGATTGAGAATCACTGCTGAGTTATACTTAGAGATTTAGTACCAACAACGTATAAATAACTATATTTTATGATCAGTAGTGGAATACCGCGTTTTATCAGTGAAATAAAAGTGTTATTCCACTGGCTAGCAGTAGTCCATGTTGTTTTTACCTAAAATCATTGTAAAATCATAAAATAAATAGAACATTTGTCGTTTTGTCGTGAATAAAATATTTTATTTCATCTCTAAGCAAGAAAGTTTTCTTGCTTCTCGATGAAATAAAATATGTTATTCACTCTAAAACGACAAATATCCTCTATATATTAAATATTCACAACTGAAGCAACTTTATTATTGTTTCAAACACTTAACCAGAATTCATTATTATTGATTTGTCTTCCCTTTTAAAAGTAAGAGATATCATTTTAAAAATTCATGAAAACATTTCATGCCATCATGATTTCCAAGAGCACTTTGTATATTAATTTTGATGAAATATGAATGGACCAGTTTTTGTTAACCAGTTTTAACATTATCAAATAAATTAAATTTTCTGCTCTTCAACGTGTGGGTTAACTTACTTAAAGATACATTATGGAAGATTAGATAAAGAACTGGTAGTTGTCACTATAATAGTTAAAATCTAGATAATGTAAAGGGGATTTGCTGAAAATTTCAGTCAAATTGATCCACCCTGAACCGAGTATTTAGCGATTGATTTTTTTGGCCTAGCCTCGTTCATCATTACTAAAGTCGGTACGATAAAAAAATACATAGTCTCGATTATCCATTTTTTGATTTAATCAGAAGCAGCAGACCGGGTTCTAATCCAGTACATATCGCAGACTACCGTTGCTATCGAGAGTTGATTATGGTCTGGATAAGTTAATTAATGTCTAATTGATAACTTAGATAAAATTTCAGACCTAAAGAAAGACCTGCAATCGGCAGATTTAGCTCTTGAATAATGCATGTTTAAAGACACATTAGTTAAGAGTTTGCCATTCTTGCTATAATAATTCAAAAATAGACGATAAAAAAAAGAAAATATTGAAAATTTCATTCAAATTACTTCATTCTGAGCCAAGTTATCACTGTTTGTTGTTTTGACAAGATGTGTGCATTGTGTGGTAACCAGGGCACTGGTATATTCGAGAGTTAGTCTCGCTTTCCCATTTTTAAATTAAATTTTTAAATGGAGAACCGTTCTAATCTAGTTAAAATCTCGACTATCCGATGCGATCGAGAGTGTGATTATGGTCTTGTTTTGTTAATAAATGTCTAATTAATAGTTTATATTAACATTTCAGGCCTAAAGAAAGACTTGTGCAATAGGCAGATTTAGCTCTTGCATAATGTATGTTTAATTTTCAATCACATAGAAACTAAAGTAAAAAAACGATTTCAGCAAAGATGGGGTTTAACGTCCACTGGACACAAACTAGGTCATTTCGGAACTAACACATGGTTTAATTTTATTTCATTTATTCGCTTGAGCGTAGGGGTCTTTAGCAGTGGGAGGAAACAGGAGGACCCGGAGAAAACCCACGAGGTTGGACAGGCGACCCTACTCCTTGTCACGTACAACCGGGGAATCGAAACCCCGCCTTTTGACTCAATGGCAGACCGTATGATACAGCGCGCGCGTTCTAACCATTCGGCCATCCAACCCCCCTTAGCACTTGGAATAATAGGAAATTTATCTCACTAGTTTTCTATACGCTCCGGGGGTTTGATGGCCGAATTGGTAACGCGTGTGTGCTGTATCATAAGGTCTATAATAGAGTCAGCTGGAGTGGTTTCGATTCCCCGTGTCCTCCGGTTTGCCCCCACTGCTAAAGATCCCTATAAAATTGAACCATATGTTAGTCCCGAAATGACCTAACTTGTGTCGAGTGGACGTTAAACCCCATCTCTCTCTCTCCCCCTCTCTCTCTCTCTTCTTTCAGAGAAGGGGAGTCACGGTGGTTAAGTGGGTAAGACGCTGGCTCGGTAGCCTAGAGGTCTGGTGTTCGATCCCTGCATTGGCCGAGAAAGTTCATCCAGATTTTCCGGCGTGGTTTCCCCTTGTCAGTGATGTAGGACGGAGGGCCTGACAATGGGCAGCTGTCTAGTCGTTCAGATGGGACGAAAAACCGACGTTATTGAAATAAAATTGAATCATAGATTAGTCCTGAAATATCCTAGTTTGTGTTGAGTGGACGTTTTATACTCTCTCTCTCTCTCTCTCTCTCTCTCTTTCTCTCCCTCTCTCTCCATGGAACCGGCAAAACTCAACGTTAATGTTTTAGCTTGAAAATGATATATTTGCCAGTTTCTCAACTGTCAATAGTGTATTATAGGATAACTAGGATTGTTCTTGATCAGGGTAGGACCGTGTATACATTTTATAGGCTTTATTTTAACATATCTTTTATTGACATAAAAGGCAACTATCGCTTTAATGATTTGCGCTTAACCACACCAGTGAAGACACGGTGAATGACTTTTAAATTTGAATAGACCATAATCAACTCGCGATGCCATCGTTAGAAATGAAATAAACTTCCTATTGTTCTGATCCGAACTATGCTAATGAAGACGGGCATACGCCATACAGTGTGCTGTGAGGAAAATTTTGCCCGGACAGCACTACGGCCTACTCATATATCGAATTCCAACTGGGATCGTTTACGTGCACGCCAATGTGTACACGGGACCTCGGTTTTTCGTCCCATCCGAAGGACTAGACAGCTGCGATATTTAATGGATTTGAATACGTTTTGTGATGAATGAGTTAAAGGGACAATACCACTCTTGCTGGCTTGACAGCTCCAGAAAATAAAAAATAGCCTTATTCTAAGTACTAGATGTGTTAGTGTCATACCTGTTGTGTAAATTATCCATTAAATCTTATTTTACTTGTCCAGAGGGTTCGAAAATATTTTTAAATCCAAGTCACATTTGAAAAGGTTTACGTCAGGCTTTTCAAATCATTTAGTTGAATTTTCCAATTTGTATCATCAATTAATTGGAATATTGTAAAATAGTACAATTTGTTGACCAGAATAAAGATTGGGACATATTATTCAGTTACAACAAGAGTGGTATTGAGCCTTTAACGTAAAAATGGATTATCGAGACTGTTTATTATCGTACCAACGATAGTAATGACGATCGAGGCTAGCTTAAAATTGAATCACTAATATATCTCGGTTCAGAGTGAAGCAATCCTAAATAATGTCCATTTAATCATACATTATGCAAGCGGTAAATCTGTCTATTGCAGGTCTTTCTTTAGGCCTGAAATGTTATCTAAATTATTAAATAGGCATTAATTAACTTATCCAGACCATAATCAACTCTAGATGGCATCGCTAGCCCGCGATCTTAAGTGCATTGTGAGCCGATTTACTGCATAACTTTCCTTCTCGATTAAACGATTAAATGGATAATCGAGACTATGCTGTTTATCGTACTGACTTTAGTAATGATGACCGAGGCTAGGCAGAAATTTCATTCGCTTAGTTCTGGGTTCATAGTGGATCAATTCGAATGAAATTTTCAGCAAATTGCCTTTACGTTATCTAGTTTTTAATTATTATAGTGAGAACTGCCAACTCGTTATCGAATCTCCCATAATGTATCTTTAATGGTTTTGGAATGGATCAAAGTTACAAATCGGAGAGAAAACTGAGCTGAGAGGAAAGAGGTTTCCAAGGTCTCGGCGCAATGTTTGATAACCTGATATAAGGCATATCGGCTAAACAGTCCCTACTGACTGATATGGGCCTAACACAGGCCTTATCTGAAAGCTTAATCGAAAACTCGCTCTCGTAAAGTTTGTAGTGAATCTGTGTCATTTCACAATTCTATATTCCGCCGTGGTGTTTTAAAATGGTTCATTCCATAAATTATCCATTCTGTCGTATTAAATTTGTAAATTGGTGTCCTTCCACTGAAATTTATTCTCGGTGGTATATGTATTAACATTGAGAATTGATGTCATTCCATAATTCTATCGTAAATATATTATAATTCAGAATTAGTGTGATTCGGTAATGAACATCCTTGCATAAAAATGTGAATTAGTTCCAGTCATTAAATATATTCTGCTGTATATGTATATATTACAAGTGTGAATTTTAGCCATTCTGGGGGGTTGGATGGCCGAATGGTTAGCACGTGCGCGCTGCGCTGTATCATACGGCCTTTCATTGAGTCAACTGGCGGGGTTATGATTCCCCGGTGTGTACGTGACAAGGAGTAGGGTCGCCTGTCCAACCTCGTGGGTTTTCTCCGGGTCCTCCGGTTTCCTCCCACCGCTAAAGACCCCTACGCGCAAGCGAATTATCGAAATAAAATTGAACCATGCGTTAGTCCCGAAATCACCTAGTTTGTGTCTAGTTTGTGTCGAGTGGACGTTAAACCCCATCTCTCTCTCTCTCTCTCTCTCTCTCTCTCTCTTTTAGCAATTCTATAATTCTATCGTATATGTTTTAAAAATTGTGAATTGTCTTTCCATAATACTATATTCTGTCGAAAATATATTAAAATGTGAAATTGGTTTTACTCCTTAAATCTATATTCTATCGTATATGTAATAAAAATTTTGAATTGTTCTCGTTCCATAATTCTATATTCTGTTGTATTCAAATGTTTTATCTCCAAATTAGACAAGTTGCGATACGTTCTCTACCTAAATACGCAAATACTTCGCGGCTTTATCATGAATGTTTATTCAATGGATTTTGAATGAATATACCTCAACTCTACCCTTGTACCCTCACAATTGTAGGTCACTATTAATCTTGATAACGTTATTATAGACATTTTCAATACAGGTTAAGTTATACGTCTTCACCATAATAAGGATGATTGCCTACCTGTTTCGTAGCCTGTGATCCCATGCTTCGTTTACCGCCCTTCGGACAATTTCGGATAAAACAAGTGTCTGTTCCGTATAATACACAGAGAATCACAAATAAAGTTACTAAGCACTGTACAGAATTGAAAGACATTTTTGATAGTTCGAACTTCTGAATGAATCTTGTTACCCGAAAACTTTGCTCAAAACTTCTCGTCGCTTGTCACACCGTTGGTTTCTAGTGTCATGCACGCGACGTGCTCGCTATTTCTATACTGTCGTCTGCTAGTGGGAGAAACATAGATCACGTGATATCAATGACCAGCTATTGGCAAGACAAATTTAGCCGTGAGAAATACGATGCAATCAGGTAAAAGTGAGTCATGCCTCTATAAACAATCGTGTCAGCTATATTCATTCAATAAAGTTCATGAATGAAATTGAAAATTAAAATTAAATTAAATTAAATTTTACGACAATCGGTATTGATAATATCTTGTGTACGTGATACCTGGTTATAGGGAAGTTGAACTTGTGACGACATTAAGGCCTAACCAAATTTACTGTGTTTTACATGTATATAACAATATTTTATTCTCAGAAAAGGGTTGAGGAACAGGCTAGGCCTATATTACCCCCCCCCTCCGGTGGTTCTTCTAGGGCAGTGGTTCTCAACCTTTTTTATGCCAACGGCACACCTTAGAACACATGAAGAAATAGCGGAACACCTGGCTAAATATATATGAAAAATATTTGATGTTTGCAAAATAAAAACATGGCAAGTCAGATGGCATACAACCGTAGACAGAGACTAGTCATAGAAAAATAGAATGATTAAACTAAATAAAGAAAAACACATCTATGAACAGGGAATACTCCATTATGATCATGTGGTTTTTCGCATTTTCTTAGTGTGCCTTTCAAAATTCCGCGGCACACTTAGGAAGATCTCGCGGCACACCTGTTGAGAATCAGTGTTCTAGGGGCTTGATAGATATATACTTACTTGAATGGCAGGACAGATATTTTGTTAATAATTAAAACTTAGAAATATTGAACCAAAAACTTTTGAAAAGAGTAATTAATTAGTTCTTTGTTTTAAATTTAGTCTTTTTCCCGAAGAAATGTTAAGACAATTTTTTACAGGTGTTTCAGAAGAATAGAAATTAGGTTTGTAAAAAAAATAAAAATAATAAAAATTAAAAAATTAAATGAAATGGGGTTTAACGTCCTACTGTTCTGTTCCGACTGGGCTAATGAAAACAGGCATACGTCATACAGTCTGCTATGAGGGGAAATCTGCCCGGGCAGCGGCGCTACGGCCTACGCTTATATCGAATTTCAACTGCCAAGGGATTTTTTTTTACGTGCACGCCAATATGTACACGGGGCCTCGTTTTTTCGTCCCATCCTAACGACTAGACAGCTGTCCTTGTCAGGCCCTCCGTCCTGCACCACTGACAAGGGAAACCACATCGGAAAATCTGAATAAACTTTCTCGTTCAATGCAGGGATCGAACACACGACCTCCAGACTAGCGAGCCAGCGTCTTACCCACTTAGCCAACGTGGCCCCAAACAAATAAATAATTTAGGGTTTAATTACTATTTTTTTTTAAAATCAAAAATAGGCCTATGATCACATACCGCATGTATGTCTGGTTGTTAGGCATGTCAATCATGTAAAATAGGCTGGGCTGTATGAAACAGATAGAGCGATCATAACTTCTATATTTTTTGTAAGATAAGATAAAGTTTATTGCATCAAATCGACAACCACGAGCATCACACAATCATATAAATCTTACAAAAAAAACATACTCGACAAACACACAATGCGGTAACTTAAAGGAGCTAAACTGCCTCCAGTGAAATGTTTACTGGTATTTAGTGAGATTAAAAGAGCATTGATGTTACTAGTGGTTTACCCACAGTTCCGGGCAAAAAAGGTCAAACACTCGATTCGACAGACCATTTGATTGGCTGACCCCTCATTTCAAGCAGAACACGAGTTAAATAACAAGTCTTCCAGATCCAAGTGCAGTAAAGACAAGTAAAATGAAATTTTGAACTATAAAAACGATTGTGTTTTAAACAGATTGTAACAAAACATATATTTCACATTCGACATAATCTATATTACTAATCCCAATTTTAAATCTATATAATCCCTCGCAAACTACATATGAAATTTAATTCTCTGAAATGAAATGAAATGGGGTTTAACGTCCTACTGTTCTGCTGCCGAACTGGGCTAATGGAGACGGGTATACGCTATGCAGTGTGCTATGAGGGAAATTTTGACCAGGCAGCGGCACTACGGCCTACTCTTATTTTACGTGCACGCCAATGTGCATATGGGACGTCGGTTTTTCGTCCCATCCGAACGACTAGACAGCTGCCCATTGTCAGGCATCCGTCCTACATCACTGACAAGGGGAAACCACGCCGGAAAATCTGGATGAACTTTCTCGGCCAATGCATGGATCGAACACCAGACCTCTAGGCTAGCGAGCCAGCGTCTTACCCACTTAACCACCGTGACCCCCCCCCCTTCTCTGAAAGAAGAGAGAGAGAGGGGGGAGGGAGGGAGAGAGAGAGAGGGAGAATGGGGTTTAACGTCCACTCGACACAATCTAGGTCATTTCGGGACTAACATATGGTTTAATTTTATTTCAATAATTCGCTTGCGCGTAGGGGTCTTTAGCAGTGGGAGGAAACCGGAAGACCCGGAGAAAACTCACGAAGTACTCTGAAAGGAATATCAGTCCAAAAATAGTTCAATTCCCTTTAGTGTTTACAAAGAAAATAAGAGGAAGTGAAAATTACATGAATCTATATATATCACCCTTTTTATTTGCCATCAACGAAATAAACTACTTTTAAAGCCCAAATCTGTTCAACAAGTCTCTTATGGTTGGTGCTCTTTTAGTTTTCAACATCCTGTTTTATGGATTAATCTACAGTTTAGTTTAATATATCTTTATATTCGCTTAAAAACAACATAACACACAATTATTTCAACAGGCTTTTAAATGACTCTTTTAACATGTCTATCACTTTTCCTCTTTTTATCCCCCTTTTTTGATGTCCATTTTTTTAACTAGAATATCGAGAACTGTCAGCTATTTAGCTTATCTTACGTAAGTAATGTCGCTTCAATTAAATAATTGGATTAAGCCTTGAGAAATTTGAAATTTTCCGAAAAATGCAAATCACGCATCGTTACTTTAAAAACATCAGTTCCCTGTATGACGTATATAAAACTATTTTAAGATAACCGGCTATAAATACAATCTGATTATGATACAGATCTATATTTGGTTTCGTTTTTTTATGATACTTCCGATGGCATCCAGTACATGCAGGTCTGGCCGGTTGAAGTGTAGGGTTGCGTCAAGGGTCAAACAAGCGGCTTTTTGGCCCTACAGCGTCAGTCATTCGATTATTCAATCAGTCCAGGGGCCTCATACAGGGGAAGGCTGAGAGGGGGGGGGGGGCATATGTCCGGGGCAGCACTTCTTGGGGGCGGCAAATTATCTAAGTGCATACCAGAAATATTCAAAGGGGGACTCTTTGAATATTTAAGGACTAGTCTCCTTGGAGGTTGAGGTAGCAAATCACCGGACTTCGTTTCCCCTAAACCTGTGTAAACCAGTTCGTATTTCAGCAAATAGAGAGGGTAGATATGAATTATGATTTTCCGAAGATATATTATAGTGTTTTTCGATCAAATGGAGAGTTGATGTGGAAATAAACATAAAATATACATATAAGTTGATAAGGGTAGCTCGGACCGGGAAGTAACATAGGCCTGGTGGCGACGGATTACAACTTCCGGTTTTGGAGTTACGCTACTTCCGGTGCATGGTTATACCCGTGCTACGATGAGTCAACGGCTAATATTCTATAACGAAATTCTTTTCGGATTATCAAAGGCGATAGAGAGGGGGAAATGGATTTAACGTCCACTCGACACAAACTAGGTAATTTTGGGATTAACATGTGGTTCTATTGTATTTCAATAAATCGTTTGCGAGTAGATTACCCAAGGATTGGCGGATTAACGGCTGTTATGAAACTCGCGTTCCTCTATGTTTAGGCATGAATCATATCCAATAGTCCTCAAATTATTTGGGGAGGGGGGGATGGCCAATTGGATGGCGCGTGCGCGTTGTATCATAAGGTCTGTCAACTGACGTGGTTCCGATTTCCTGGTTGAACGTGACAAGGAGTAGGGTTGCATGTCCAACTTCGTGGGTTTTCTCCGGGTCCTCCGGTTTTCTCCCACTGCTAAAAATCCCTACGCCCAAGAGAATTATTGAAATAAAATTGAACCATCGGTTAGTCCCGAATGGCCCAGTTGCTCTCTCTCTCTCTCTCTCTCTCTCCCTCCCTCTGTCTCTCCCCTCCCTCTCTCTCTTTCCTCCCTCTCTCTCTTTCTCCCTCTCTTTCTCCCTCTCTCTCTCTTCCTCTCTCTCTCTCTCCCCTCTCTCTCTCTCTCTCTCTTCTCTCTCTCTTTCTCTCTCTCCCTCTCTCTCCCCCTCTCTCTCTCTCTCTCCCTCCTCTCTCTCTCTCTCTCTCTCTCTCTCTCCCTCTCTCTTGTATACAGTATGATCATTCGATTATCCAGGTAATACATGATATTAATATTATTATGGAAGGTATAGTCGCAGCTCTTAATGAATAGGGAAGAGGGCTTTATTATTATTTCAATTATTTTGGGTCGGTGTTTAGGATTCACAGATATGCTGTCGAGGGCAAACTAAACCCTCACTTCTGTATATATTTACCTGCGTGTTTTAATATCTCATTTTAATGCCCCAATATAGCCCTTCAATATATACTACATACCCCCCCCCCTCTCTCCCTCTCCCTCTCTCTCTCCCCTCTCTCTCTCTCTCTCTCTCTCTCCCTCTTTATTTATATGTATATCCAAATGCATAATATGAATTAAATTCACCAGTCTGCACGTAGGCACAATGCATTTCTGGAATTTAACTCATTTTCAAATTCAGCGAATCATGGTGAACAGAATTACTCAAATCGTTTCCTTATTTCCTGAAGCCTCGAGGGAATCAGAATTGGGATAGCATGTCGTGCAAGTCTACGTTAATTGGTTGAGATAAAAATTCCCAGACGCTTAAAGGGTTTACACTTGATGAATAAAGCACGACTTCGAAGCATTCGAACGTGGAACCAGAGGAAATACATTTGGGGAAAAACGAAAAGACCGTTGAAGACAAATGTCTGCTGCACAGGGTTTTAATGTGTGTGACG